ATATATATGTATATAAATATATGTATAAAATATATATATATGTATATATATATATATATATATATATATATATATATATATATATATATATATATATATATATATATTATATATATATATATATAAATATATATATATATATATATATATATATATATATATATATATATATATATATATATATATATGTATATATATATATATATATATATATATATATATATATATATATATATATATATATATATATATATATATATATATTATCAACGACCTCACCAGCAAGGAATCGAACCCTCGACCTACTGGGTGTGACTAGGGAACGCTTACCGGCTAGGCCACAAGGACACTAAAAGCAGTTCTAGACTCTGTTATATTTCACACAAAGCCTGTTCATCGAGCTGATGGCGCCGTGAACCTCAATGGGAAACTGCCCGTGCCTCTTATGTGGTGTCAGTAGCATTTTACCGAATCCAGCTGGTATGAAACGCGAGGTACATATATATACTTCATTTTTAGTCCATATAACACGCGGACTTTGAACATATAATCAACGACCTCACCAGCAAGGAATCGAACCCTCGACCTACTGGGTGTGACTAGGGAACGCTTACCGGCTAGGCCACAAGGACACTAAAAGCAGTTCTAGACTCTGTTATATTTCACACAAAGCCTGTTCATCGAGCTGATGGCGCCGTGAACCTCAATGGGAAACTGCCCGTGCCTCTTATGTGGTGTCAGTAGCATTTTACCGAATCCAGCTGGTATGAAACGCGAGGTATATATATATACTTAATTTTTAGTCCATATAACACGCGGACTTTGAACATATAATCAACGACCTCACCAGCAAGGAATCGAACCCTCGACCTACTGGGTGTGACTAGGGAACGCTTACCGGCTAGGCCACAAGGACACTAAAAGCAGTTCTAGACTCTGTTATATTTCACACAAAGCCTGCTCATCGAGCTGATGGCGCCGTGAACCTCAATGGGAAACTGCCCGTGCCTCTTATGTGGTGTCAGTAGCATTTTACCGAATCCAGCTGGTATGAAATGCGAGGTACATATATATACTTCATTTTAGTCCATATAACACGCGGACTTTGAACATATAATCAACGACCTCACCAGCAAGGAATCGAACCCTCGACCTACTGGGTGTGACTAGGGAACGCTTACCGGCTAGGCCACAAGGACACTAAAAGCAGTTCTAGACTCTGTTATATTTCACACAAAGCCTGTTCATCGAGCTGATGGCGCCGTGAACCTCAATGGAAACTGCCCGTGCCTCTTATGTGGTGTCAGTAGCATTTTACCGAATCCAGCTGGTATGAAACGCGAGGTACATATATATACTTCATTTTTAGTCCATATAACACGCGGACTTTGAACATATAATCAACGACCTCACCAGCAAGGAATCGAACCCTCGACCTACTGGGTGTGACTAGGGAACGCTTACCGGCTAGGCCACAAGGACACTAAAAGCAGTTCTAGACTCTGTTATATTTCACACAAAGCCTGTTCATCGAGCTGATGGCGCCGTGAACCTCATTGGGAAACTGCCCGTGCCTCTTATGTGGTGTCAGTAGCATTTTACCGAATCCAGCTGGTATGAAACGCGAGGTACATATATATACTTCATTTTTAGTCCATATAACACGCGGACTTTGAACATATAATCAACGACCTCACCAGCAAGGAATCGAACCCTCGACCTACTGGGTGTGACTAGGGAACGCTTACCGGCTAGGCCACAAGGACACTAAAAGCAGTTCTAGACTCTGTTA